TTGGACAGTCCACAACTGAAGATACCCCCCTCTACTATGCAGTAGAAATTAACAAACAAGCAGATACTTAACACATGGATAGTTTTGTTATACCTCCATACAAGGAATCATGTCATATAAAAACACAAAAATCTCTGTATTTTACACATATGTTTATAGAACTTTAAATTATGTTCAAGACAGGAATATTTAAATAACGAATTGTTATTAATTAAATATATAGCTATTGATAGAGGATTTGAACCAAATATAGTAGACAAAACACTTAAGAAATTTAATAAAGGTGTAAACACAGTTAAAAATACCACACTAATATCTATTTATTAAAAAAAAACACAAAAAGAAACACTAAGTTTACCTTATGTTCCAGGTTTAACAAGTCAATTATAAATTTTTTAAAGAACATCAGAATTCATATCCTATCTTCAAACCAATAAATAAGAGAAAACATGATAGGGAATATTAAAGATAAAATATAATTAGTAGATAAAACGGATATTTACAAAATAGTATGTGAATATAGTAGTATTTATGTTGGTCACACTAAAACAAATTTATAATACAGTTTGCAAGAACATAAAGGTTATAAAAGGAATAATGCAACAGAAACCTCAGCTATAGACGAACATGTAAAAACTACATACAATATTATAGGAAAAACTTTAATTTTAACTCAGCCTCGTAGTATTATAACATTAAATATTAGAGAAACATTAGAAATAATGAAATAATAAAAACAAAGACAAGTATTAAATAGAGAAGAAAGAACAACAATTCAATACGTTGATATATGGCGAGATATATTATAATTTGTTTTTGTTTTTTTTCATATGAACGGAAATATGTAAATAACAATGAAGTAATGCGACAAGGGGGAAAGTATAAAACAGTCTTGTAAGTTACTCCTGAGGATGACGTAGATCACGTTGAAACATGTACTTGTAGAGAGATATTTTAAAGTGGAAGCCGTACGGATTCAATAAAGTTTTTATTGTGTAAATATAAAACGTTGTTTTTAATTATATATTATAATTTAAAAAAATTTAAGCACAAGTACCGGTAGTGCATATTTATAAACCTAACAACGGGATTTACGGCTAAAATATTTACGAGACAGAGGAGTTGAACAGTAACATCAAGGACGAAAAGTAAACAATTGTTTAAACGAGTTCAATCAACAGATATATTAGATTACAATACACCAAAAAGAAATTTCGTAGTAGACCTGGAATACCAACTGCTTTTAAGGAAAGAAATACGAAAAAAAAATATGGTCGTAATACCAGTAAGTCAATATGTTGATATATGGCGAGATATATTATTAAAACAATAGACCAAGGAAATATGTAAATAATAGTGAAGCAATGTGACAAGGGGTAAAAATATGTCTTGTAAGTAACTCCTGAAGATGACGTAGATCACGTCGAAATTAGTGCATGTACAGTGTTGTTTTAAAATGGAAGATGTTCGGCTTCAATTGTTTGTTTGTTATGAATTTCGCGCAAAGCTACACGAGGGCTAACTGCGCTAGCTGCCCCTAATTTAGCAGTGTAAGACTAGAGGGAAGGCAGCTAGTCATCTCCACCAACCGCCAACTCTTGGGCTACTCTTTTAGCAATGAATAGTGGGATTGACCGTCACTTTACAACGCCCCCACGGCTGAAAGGGCGAGCATGTTTGGAGTAACGGGGATTCGAACCCGCAGATTGCAAGTCGAGCGCCCTAACCACCTGGACATGCCGGGCCGACGCGCTTCAATAAATTTTTAATTGAGTAAACAGTAAACGTTGGTTTTAATGATTTATTAATATTTCGGGTTTATCATTGTCCCAATTAATGGTTTTAATTGCAATATTGTTGGTACTTTTGTAACTTTTCTTTGGTTGATTAAAGTAATATACTATTAGAGACCCTGTAACCGACGGAACCGTGGATCCATAAATAATTTGGTGAATAAACTTTAATTCTATGGTCAAACTTTAACGGAATTTGTTGTGAACAAAGTCGGGGTGGGACATAATTCATTAATATAACATAATCTTTTGGGACAACATGAGACCTATTGGTTCATCTTGGCTATTCCATCCTCTAAACTTAATTCTAGCGTTGTAAGTCCACAGACATACCGCTGTGTCACTGGGGGTGGAGGGGGGGGGGGCTTAATTAAAACTTAATTAAAATAATTAAAAAGAAGAAGAATCTGAACACAATAAATTAAGTATAAAAATTAAACATTCAAGAAGCAGTTACAGTGTCCCAAACTCATATGCCAGAAGGGAAATCTAGCTTTGAAACATAATTGTCTGTGACCCACCGGTGGGGCACATGGTAGCGAACGTGTTAAGTTTGTGTATTTCTTCCCTTTAAAAAAGCACTGCTGACAATTGTTCTGAGGAAAATATTTGGTAAATAACCACGTTCTTTCTAACTCACTTTTACCGTTAACAAAAAGTATTTAACTTTGTTTTAAGGAGTCTTTATGCAGAAGAAAATATTTGTGGGCAGCAACTTCCTAGGAGTTTTTAGACTAGCCCCCGGGTAAATTTGAGAGCTTATAACTCTAAACATAGGAGTTCGATACCCACAATGGACACATCACAAGTAGCCTTGTGTTACTTTACTCTTAAAATATAATAAACAAACATATTTCTGAGATTATCAACATTCCGGATTCCATGCCAAGGCATTTCTCGGATAAGAGGGGCCCGGTATGGCCAGATATTAGGGCGCTTGACTCTCAGTTCGAATCCCTGTCCCACCAAACATGCTCACCCTTCCAGCCGTGGGGGCATTATAACGTGACGGTTAATCCCACTATTCGTAGGTGAAAGAGTAACCCATGAGTTGACGGTGGGTTGTGATGACTAGCTGCTTTCCTTCTAATCTTTCACTGCTAAATTAGGGACGGTTGGCGCAGATAACCCTCGTGTAGTTTTGCGCGAAATTCAAACCGAGAACGAATAATAGGTTAGGCGACAGGATGCAGTTCGAAATGACATTAGCTTGCAAAACTTCCAACCAGTTGTTCTCTGTAAACAATTAAAAAAATTAAACATTAGCTGAAAAACATACACAAGCTTTTCATTTTCCTTTTATATCAGGCTGAAAAATATATAGTTACTCTATAAAATATCGGTCTTCAAAATCAGTTGTCCGATACAATATCGTTATTTTGTGTGTGTTTGTAATTAAGGATAAAGCTACACAACGGGTTATCTGTGCTGTGCCAACTAAGGGTATTGAAGCCCGTTTTCTGGCGTTATAAATATCCTGACTTACCGCTTTTCCACTGGGGGCATATATAGTTTTTTTCAAATGATTCATATATTTTTTTTCCAGTTTGTGACAGCATTTCTGTTTGTGTACGCAGAGTGTGAAAATAAAATAAACAACAATAAAATACTGGAAGTGATCTGCATAAACCTAAATTGTACAGATGATTTAATTGCACTAGATCTTAATGCACTGGCAGAGTAAAATGCCAGTTGGTTTTTTCTTATGAACGAGAGGTTCACGTTTCTAAATTCATAAATCCACTTTGGTAGTTCTAATGCTAGTAGAGACAATAAAGCATTATTTAAGGTTGTCAAACAAATAAATCCACTTTTCGCAAGCTTTTCCTTTTTATGTTGGAGGTGATTTATCTGTTTCCTTCTTTGAAAGCCGAGATGACGCTCGTACCAAACACAGAGCAAATATAGCAGAAATAAGTTTTCGTTATTATGTTTCGTAAAACACCATGAACCCAAACAGACGTATAATATGCCTTGCATTTTATGAGCCCCTGGGGTTAACTATTGATTCCTTAATGTTCAAATAACTTCCAAGTTTAACAATAAACTTAAGCTTTGTGTGCTAACCATTCCTAGCGCTTCTCAGTAATAGTCCCGGGAGCTGTATCTATCTAAGGTGTTTTGTTTTATCTTCATCTTTAGGATAGTATAAGTACAACCAAACTCTGAAAGAGACACATATTTTCATTGAATATTAGGTTTTCCACATCTAGCTGACCATGACAGCCATGCAGCAGCTGCAGTTGATGATCTACATGATGATGTTTACATCTTGCCTGGTCTCCAAAGGTTTGATCATTTCATAGCAGTCTTATTGTTACCATGTCTTCATTTGAGGGCTAATTAAAAAACAAAATTATTTGGTGCATATGTTTCCTTGGGTGTTATTTTTCTTAGAATGTTTCTGTATTAAATATGAAAATATCTGGAATATAGTTCTTAATCAGGCTACCAATTATCCACTCTCATCTTTTACTAATCAAACTATAATATTCAAATTTGATAAATTACAAATATATTTGGAGCAAGTTCAGCTTCTTGATTGAACGTGTTACTTCGTGCCTTACAGAATATTAGTCTCGTATTGTTGTTACATAGTCAGTGTGGTTTTAAATGTCTCTCGGTGGGAAGCGTTAAGTTTACGGATTTACAATGTTAAAATCCGGGGCTCGATTCCCTGTGGTAGATATAGTATGTAGTCCAATGTGGTCTTGCTTTTAAACAAACAAACAAATCATGTTATAAAGTATTGAAGAGAAGTGCTCGACTTTCTGCTATCTATTCGCAAAGTATCACATTTACTTGTTTTACAGAACATTTGTCCGAAAAATCCTCTACAAAAGTGCAACCATCAAAGGATGATGGAACGTATTTCTATGCCTTAACTCACTTTTTATAATCTAACTTTTTACGCAGTATTTTTCGAAAAAAATATTCGTGACGAAATTTACCTTGAATTTAAAAAGTAAAGTTCGTGAATTCAATTATGTTGTGGTTTCTACGTTTCCCACTTTTTTTTACCGAGTTTAATAGATAGACCTAAATACTCAAGTGGGATTGACGATCAGAATAATGAGAACAAATATATAAAACAAAATAACTTGAATTTAGAAAGTCAAATCAGTGCAATTATTTTATGGTTTATGCCCCCCCCCCCCAGTGGTACAGCGGTATGTCTGAGGACTTACAACGTTAGAATCCGGGTTTCGATACCCGTGGTGGGCAGAGCACAGATAGCCCATTGTGTAGCTTAATTACAAACAAACACAATTTAAAATTTATAAGCTTCCACTGTTGTACTGAGTATAATATGTACAACTGGACTTGGATCGAAGATTGGAATTATTGAAATAGAATGGAAAAAAAAATAGCTATTATATAATTGTCAGTTCTTGATCGTTATAACCTGTACATCGATATGTATTAATATCTAAATGCTTAGACGGTTCAAATTACCAAATATATTAAAGCAGATTTCGAAACATCCAAAGGCTATAGTGCTTTCGGATATACGAATCTTCTTATTTTTGTTCCTGTAACAGAATAATCAACTACTCGAAAGTGCTTGAAATCTATTTTTTGTTTGAATATCATTTAAACCTTAGCAAGCAAAAAATATTATATTTGTACCTTTATATAAAGGTTACGTACTATTGTAACAATCTCAATTCAGAATTATATAACATTTTACAACGTACATTTTTCATTAAACAAAATTAATATATATTACTAGAGAGTCGTTACAATTTTTTCTCTATATGTTTAATTACAAGTATCTTTGATCGTTTAACTTCTAAACGTACTATTTCTCATTCAAGTCACTTAAATAAAACTTATTTTACTGTTCTTCATAGTTTTTACTTAAAGCAGTGTTGTTTTTTTGCTTCAGGATATGTTCTTCACAAGGAAAATGGAAGACAAGATCAGATCCCATCATTACGAGCGACTAAAGACTACAGATCAGAGGCTGACATCTGGACATTTCCTCCTCGAATTGGACGATCAGCAGTTTTTGACTTTTTGCCATTTTCATACATTATGGCTGAAGACTTAATATTTAAACTTTATGAAGACATGGATAGCCCTAAGCATTCTATGCTTGCATTTACTCCAAGAATTGGTCGAAAGAAGCGATCCATATCCGAAGAATATGATGACTGGCAACTCAATGATGATGATATCCAAAGGATTTTGAGACAAATTATTCCAGTTTTGCATAATAATGTGGATGATGGTTACATAAATAAAGCAAAAAGAGCAATGTTTACTCCTCGAATAGGACGTGCATCATACATTCCAAGAATTGGAAGAGCAAATACAGGGGCTTTATCTAGCTTACTCCTATAATAGGGCTAGCACCGTTTAGTGCTAGAATTGGCAGGTTGAACAACTTAGATTTCAAGAAAAGTAACGAGGGATGAATTACTCACAAGATTGCCAACCATAATTTGGAAACTTACAACGGAACATAGAACTCAAAATAGAGAAAAAGTAAGAAATGGAAATGTATGTTATTTGACAAAAATAAATAACTAAATAATTTATCAAGCACATAGTTAGTTTTAGAATTTCTTCAGGTAAAAAAGCATAATATTCGTATTGATGTCTTAAGGTCTTTGAAATTTAAAAAGGTATACGAATACGACTCTATAATTAATTCGTTTTTTTCCTAGGCGTGTCGCTGGAAAGTGGGGAATGAAATATTTTCAAAGTTTTAAATTTATCTTACAGAATGCGCGTGAACATCGTTGTATGTACAGAGGATTGAATACGATACATTAAAACGTATTTCAGTATGCAAATCAGCAAGTTACATGACAAATACAGCCTATACAAAGTCGCGATGGAGCGCAATGTATCAGAACTACATGTTGGCATTGTTTGGCGTTTTGTTAGTTTGGCATTTTGATATCACCGAAAATTCATCGTTTCTGTGAAAGGAATGTAACATCTCTTTCCGAAGAAAAATATTCATACACTCAAATCTCAAAGATGCGCTCATATCGGGGATTTAGCATTTCTAAAACGGAGATATTCCTTGAAGTTAATGGCATTGGAGCACAAAAAGAATATGGGTCAAGTTGGGGCACCAACACTCTCCAGAAAGAGATCTGCAACAAGTCGTACCCCAGCCATGCTAAACAAAGTGCAATGTATTGTAATCCATAAGAATCCACGAACACAAAGGTCAGTGGCAAAAGCCCTTTACGTGGCCCAAGCAAAAGTAGGTAATGTAGTTAAGAAGGATCTCCATCTGTAAAAGTTGCACATGGTGCTTTCACCACAGATATGTTCAAATAGCGCATAACTCAAGCATTTCGTGAATGTAACGAGAATTCAAACTATTCTATAAGAAGACATGCTGGTAAAGTCGCTAAGTGCAACGTCTATGGATTTATGTGCAACTAGATTGTTGAAACGGACACTGAGAAACCGTCGTTCGTGTACACAAAATGGATTATGGAAAGTAAGCAGGGCCAAGGGTGTGTTTGGATATGAAACCTTACGATGCAGCCTTTTGCAATGGAAACAAACTATGCTACCGGGCTATAGTTAAGATGCAAGACTTTCTGATATAGCATGACCAGACGTTTGTTTGTTATTAAGCAAAAAGCTATACAATGGGCTATCTGTACTATGCCTACCATGGGTATCGAAACCCGGATTTTATCTTTATAAGCCTTCAGACTTATTACTGAGGCACTGGTGGCAGCAAACATGAGACATGGATTGTAACGACGTAGGGAGACTCCAAATCTAGTTTAATATAACGTACTCAACCTCTTTATTTTGTATTATTATTCTTACTATTCCCAATCCACAACTTAAGATCAGTGAACCTCCCTTCCCCAGTGGCACAGCGGTATGTCTACGGACTTACAACGCTAGAAACTGGGTTTCGATACCCGTGGTGGGCAGAGCACAGATGGCCCATTGTGTAGTTTTGTGCTTACTTCCAAACAAACAATCAGTGAAAAAAAAACTATCGCGGAATCTTAATCGAGGGTCTTGCGAGAGAAAAAACGACTAAAACATAGACAAACAAGATGGTTTCTAAAGAAATTGCAAAAGAAAACTCCACCAAAATAGTTAACAAGAATATTTGAGTGATTAGTAAATACTTCAATACCTGAAGAATCCAAAAGAATAATCAATTCAAACGCTGTAATCACGAAACACTTGTACAAGCTAGTTTTCAAGTATGATGAACTCTTAAGTTATCGATAGTGTGGTGTATAGAGGCCATGTTAATCATAAGGACTTACTTCGGCCAAGTCAGTTGCTGGTGTAGTAGAGAGTATAAAGAACTATAGGGAACCACTTTATGTTTACATGGAAGATGAGGCCTGGCATGGCCTGGTGGTTAAGACACTTGACTGGCAAACCTGAAGTTCGCAGGTTTGAATCCCGTCCTCGAACATAATATTCCTTTCAGCCGTTAGGGTGTTCTATAACGGTCAATCCAACTATTCCTTGGTAAAACGTAGCCCAAGTGTTGGCAGAGGGTGATGTTGACCAGCAGCCTTCCCTTTAGTTTATCACTTCAAAATTATGGACAGCTAGCGAAAGTATCCCTTGAGTAACTTTGCGCGAAATTCAGAGCAAACAAACAAACAAATCTGAAATCTATAATTTTCCACAACTAGAAAAAACAAGACAAAAAACATCTACCCAGAAAGAGATACTTTAAAAATAAATATATATAAATATATAGTCTGAAAGTCGAGTTTTATTAGGTGGTCAAGAAATTAATGTCGCTTTTTCTAGATGAAAAAACCCGAACAACTCATATATCAAAACAAAACATTTATTAAATGAAATAGTCTCCACTCC